ACTCAACTTTCTTTTGCATCACATTGTATAATTATGCCCATAGAGATGGAGTAAATGCAGGCAAAGTCCATTGTCTGGGCCTGGCTGGCGACTCGTGGCGTGGCATATCTTAGGTTCTGTCTGCACTGCAGTCGGGGCAGCAGGGGGCGGCATACCGAGCTAGCTTGCTAAAAACAGCGGGGTAGCCGCTGCGGCCCGGGCGAGCAGCCCACGTACGTCCCCAGGGCCCTGAGCACGACTGTACTGGAGCGCTAGCCCTTCTGCCACCCGCGTCGCCGCCGTTACACAGCTCCAGCCGAACTCGCTCAGGTGTGGCTGTGTGTGCGGCAGGGCGGAGGGACCCCCAGAGAGCTAGACCCTGTTTAAAAAGCAAGTACCTGCCTCTCTCCGGTGCTTCTCCAGTCCCTGCATGACCGTAGTACTTGAGCACCTCAGAGTCTTTACTGTATTTATCCTCACGGGGCCCCCCCGAGGCAGGGCAGTGCTGTGATCCCCACGGCACAGACGGGGAACTAAGGCACCGAGACAGCCTGAGAGTGACTGTCTCCAGGTCACCCGTGGCAGAGGAGGTCGCCCAAATCCCAGGCTAACACCCTAACCTCGGGCCAGCCAGAAGGCAGGGACAAAGACCCACATTGCAGGACCCTGCATTGTTTCTGCAAGGGAGGCTTCCTCCCCAGTACCCTTCATCTTCCTCCCAAGATCCAGTGCCTCCCAGCTGGGAGTCACTGGCAAGTCAGGCTTCGGCTCTGGCAGCCCCGGTGATCCACCCCCCGGATGGACAGTTCTCCTCCCACTTCTATACCCAGCAACTGCAACCAACTTCGGTTCTGTCTGCCAGGAGAGAGGCTTTAGCACATGGGAAGTGATTCTACCCTGTACCAGAAGGGGAGGCCAGGCTAAAGGAAGCTGCCCCCTGCTTTATTCCCAGGGTCCATGTGTTTGATCTTAGGTGGCCTGTGTGAAGAACCTGGGTATCCAGGAGTCCCCCCAGGGATGTCCCAGAAAAACAAACTGTGCAGCAAATTCGCCAGTTCTGCCTTAGCCTTGAGAGGCTCCATTTGAACCTTCAGCGTCTCGTGATACTTATGGCCGGGGCAGATATTGTACATGGCAGATAACTACCACGTTGCCCCTGTCCTATCCCTAAGAGCATGGTGTGTATGTGGCATGCTGCACAGGCATTGCTAAGGAACGCAGCACGGTGCTGGCCAAGAGCCAGGCAGCCCCACGTCAGGGAGTAAATACACGTGACAAGGAGTCTTCCCTCTGCCTATGCAACGCCCTGACTAGGGAATGGAAAACTAGCAGGGAAAGAAAAGGATGAAGCTGACGGCGCCTCCAGCTGTGCCGGCATCTGGACTGATCAGAGGGGGTTGGGACTGACTGATACACAACCACCCCTTTTTCCTAGAAGCCGGGAGCGTGGGTGTAATGCCTGGCATTTCGGTCGTGGCTAGAGCGTGAACCAAGACTCGGCAGCTCCAAGAGCATGACCATCACTGCTGGAGCTAAAGGAATCCCATCCCTTGCTAGGAGCGGGAGCCGTCAGACGTGTCCCAACACGTGGGCTGTAACACGGAACAGCTGGCTACACCGCTGCAGAGACCGGCTGGCTCCTCGCAGGAAGGATGGTGCAGTGGGAAGAGCACTAACAGAGGGTGTGGGGGAGATCTGGGTTCGAGTCCCGCCTCTACCACAGGCGCTGTGTGTGCTTGGCCAGGTCACTGAGTGTCTGGGCCTCAGTTCCTGTCTGCACCATGGAGATCCCAGCCTCCCTGGGGTGGTGAGAGGATAAACACAGCGCAGATTGCCAGGCGTGCTGATCCCGTGGGAACAGAAGGGCTATGCAAGAACCTTACGCAGAAGCAGCCGGAGTTGGATCCAGATCAGACGGTTCACAGCATTTAGACCCAAACTCTGAGGGAGCAGAAGAGGGTTCAAGCGTAATGATCCACCAGGATCTGGCCCGTCTCTGGTGCAAAGGAATAGCTGCTGCAGCTACTCAGCTTCCATCCTAGAGCTTTAAAACCCACCTGCACGGGAGGGTAAATGTTATTCTGTAACCCTGAGCCTCCTGCAGGAGGAAAATCATTGCGATGCCGCATTCTGACCTTGATCTAGTCCCTGTTGTATTTCCCGAGAAAGCCTCATCAGCCAGCAGGCGTATTGCAGCTCCTGCCCTGTGCACGGCCGCTTCCGCTCTATTCTTTGCTGCGTGACAGTAAAGAAATAGCCCGGCATGAAATCCATGAGATTCTCTCTTACCTCTGATCTGGGCCAGCTGCCACTGGCATATCAATGCTAACCGCATCGTCCTTTCCGACACGATTCTCCGGGGAGGTGCTTTGACCGTACCCACGTGCTGCAGCAGCGTTTGCCTTGTCAGCAGCGCCGGGTTTAGCGCGATACAGAGCGTTACTCTCAATTCACAGCAGGAGAGCGGAGGGATAGAATTGTGGGATCAGGTCAGATAATGATCACTAAATGCACAGAAGGCAGAGAAAGGAGGAGAAAGGCTGAGCCTTAAAGATCAATCACAGGGAACGGATTATACGTGAGGATGAAATGGGGATGGAAGTTCTAGATCTCAGTGAGGTATGAAGGGAATAAAAATTGACAGCGGGAAGAAAAGAATGAGGCAATTCCGACAAGAGCAATGAAATCAAAAGCTAGCAGCATTCAGAGCCCCCATTGTGAGCCTTCTCCCAAGGTGCCTCCGCCTCCCTCCCCCCCCCCCGTTTTTCTCATGGCATGTCCAGCTGAGCCGCTCTCATGTCAAGGGTCACTGCCAGGTCAGAGGTCAGTGAGTGGCACTGCACCCTGTGTGCCAGGCTGCAACGCCACATTGCAATGCCAATCAGGTTTGGGGAGCCTCTCAGCCAGGGGGCCTGGAACAACCTGCTCCTTTTGCCCCCGCTCCGGGGTACACCCTGTGTTTATCGTGCATATGGCTGTGGGCAGCACTGCTTTCTCCTGCCTATAAATGGAACTCACTGGCTCAGTTGGGTCTTCCTCTAGTGGCTGGTCCACAGAAGAGGATAACAGCCTGATAGATCTACCAGCGAAAGGAGCGACTCCTTTAGCTCACACAGTAACACTTGTGCCGGGGAAGCGGATTATTCACTGTTATAGTTGAGCAAACAAAGACTTTGATTACAACAGAGGAACTCGGATCCCTTGACACTGGTCGCTGCGCTGCACTAGCACCTCTTAGAACCGTGAAGAGGGACCCCAATAAAAATGAGATATTTAAAATCCCACCTCCAGTTCCTCCCACCCTCTTGTGAGACGTTAGGCTCTGCACATTCTCCCTCCCATCCAGGCCAGTGACAGGTGATGGTCCCTCTGGCAAAGCAAGGCTGAATGGTCGTTCCTCTACAGAAGCAGTGTGGTCTAGTGGAAAGGGCACTGGGCTGGCACTCAGGAGATGTGGGGTCTGTTCCCAGCTCTGCTGCTGAGTCACTGTGTAACCTGGGGCAAGTCACCTCATCTTTCTGTGCCTCAGTTTCCCTACCTAGTCTGAGGACAGTGGCACTCAGCCACCGTGGTAAAGTGCCTGCAGCTCTCTGGATGAGCAGGTACTTAGCAAATCACCGCAGTACCTAGGCAGATTCTGCATCAACCCATCAAGGCTGTTCCTGAACAGAAATTCCTTGTGTTGTTACTGAAGAAGCCTGGAACATGAGACTCAGCGGTGAGATTCTGACTGCAAAGAAACGGTGCCACCCACTCTCTGGATGGGATGTGCCTTCGCTGGCTTCTCCTGCTGTTTCTCTGAGATTCCTCTTGTAAAGTGCTGCCACCCAACAGCAGTCTCTGAGAAGCAGCCCGATCTCCGAGCAGGCTAATTGCCCGACTATACAGCAGCGGCCCCTTCATTGCTGATAACTTGCTTGGGCTCTCATCTTGTTTTCATGCACAGCACCTTCCCAATTAGCTTTTACATCTGGGAGGGGAAAATAGCTCTTGTAACAAATCCACTGCTAACCTGGACTTCAGGACTGTCACCATGCTGTACTGCACACTCAGAATTTCACATTGACATTTCAGATCCTCCTTCTCCAAGAGCCCAGACCAGTCTGCTCAGAGGGAGAACCTCCCTTAAATATTTACACTATAGGGCATGTGACACACAGTATGGCAGTTCTCAATCCGTCCAGCAGAGGGCAGTAGTAACACATATATACACACACACACACACACACACACACACACACACACACACGACAGTTCATTACAATATGTTATCTTATGGTTTGTGATTTAAATTGCTATGTATCAGCCTCTGCCAGCTTTGGGTGCCCCTTGCTAGTTTACTGTTAGAAAACTGCATTCATAGACTGGTGAGAGGCTCACAGATCGGTGGCAGAGCCTTAGGGGGTACAGGAATCCCTGCCATATGATGCAGAGAAAAAATGTGCACCCACCACTTTTCCCCTCAATGCTTAAAACTCTGCATCTCCCAACACCTCGGCTTTATAATTGCTACCCAGCCAGTAGTGATCTGAGCCTCCCAGACCCTTGGGCAGGTGGGGAAGGAATTTTGCAGCTAGGGAACAGATAGATGAAGCCACTTGCCCAAAGCCACACAGACGGTCTGTGCCAAAGCTGGGAATAGAACCTAGATCTCCGGGTCCTGTGCTTCAACACACTCACTATCACACTCGCTCTCCCCCGTGCTGGCCATTTTCTCCTGACGCTTGAACCTGTGACCTTGTCCTTAAGAGATGGGTCTGGATCCGAACACCCTGGACTCTGGGGAAGCCAGGCTCTGAGATTCCAGAACCAGCCACCTGTATAATAGAGCTAAAGCTGTCTCCTTTCAAACCTGGGCCAGAATCCACAGAACTCCTGGCATGCAGATAACGCCCTGACCAGCACTTTCTCCAGGAGTGGCACCTGGCAAAGCCCCCCTGAATCAGCACATGATCCGACAGGACAGAGCCTACAGACTGTTTCCATTCACTGATGGTTCTTTATTGATGTGTTCTCTCTGACAATGCGTTCGGAGCTGTATAGGACACTAAATGTGGACAGTCCCTGACTCAAGAGCTTCCAACCTCAGAGATGGAGACGGGACGTGCTGGAAGCCGAGAGAGATAATGGTTGGGTTCTAATCTGGGGGACATCATGGAAGGAGCAAGTCTCACAAGGAGCATTGTCCATCTCTAAAGGACAGAGCACGGGAGATGGGCTGGCGAGCTTCATTTCTCTTCTCCAGCGTCCCGTCCTCCCTCAATAAAACACCTTCTCCAGGTATGCGTTCAGGAACATGCCGGTGGGATCCAGCTCCTCCCGCATGGTGCAGAACTTCCGGAAGCCGGGATACATCTTCTCAAAGTCCTTCCGGGTACAGGTGTGAGCCTACGAGAGAGCGACTGTGTCAGCGAACCCTCCGCCCACGAACACTGAGCAACAATGGCAGACGTGAGCTCTCTGTGTGTTGGTCTGGTGATATCTACAGGCGCGTACACTGCCTGGGGCCAAACACAGCAAGAGTCCCGACCCCAGAGGCTTTACAATCAGGCTGGCTCCATCTGGACAGGAGCAGCACAGGATGCTGTGGTTCTTACAGATGGAAGGTCTGTGACGTCCAGGGGTGGCCAGAACTAATACATACAGTGCCCTGAAACCCCCTGCCTCAGACACCTTTAGGGACATCTCCCGTTCTGTAAACCCAGGTCTGCGGCTCATTTCCAAGCCCAGGCTTGAGAGTCCACACTGCATGGTAAACCCGGGCTTACAATTGCTGGGCCCGGGTCTTCCAGTCATGCTAATGCGTCCACGCTGCACAACATAGACCTTCTGACTCTGGTCCACAGCTTGTCCTGGGTCCCCACTGAACAATGGCAGGGGTTGGACCCGACTCACAGCAGGACCTGGGCTCTGACCCACCCCCTAGCGGGGTCCTAGGGCCCAGGCTCTGAGTGCTTGGTGTGTGGATGGAAGAGGGACTTGGTCTCAAACTTGAACCAGAGCCCGGGCTCCGTGTGCAGTGTAGACAGACCCTTTATGTCTGAAGGGACCAATTTGCTCATCCATGAGGTTCTAAAGGCCACGTTTGCCCTCACGGGTCTAGACTGAAAGCTGAGCCATGCCACCCCTTCCCCCATCTCTCCTCAGCCCCATTGACCTAGGACGATCCTCACCTACCGCCCCTCCTTGAATCTAATGAGGCCTTTCCCTGACCCCAGAGGGACAATGACTGATTCATGCCACCCCACCCCTGCCCAGCTCCTAGCCCCACTGTCCTGTATATGGCGTCCTGTGCTCCTCACAGTGAGTGAGGGGGCTGGGAACCCGCAGCAGTGGAGATAGGGCATGTCAGAGAGGACAGGCCAGAAGGTTCCCAGATGAGCCGGATCAGGACTCTGCCTCAGCGAGCATCTAGGCCGGCCCTACTCCACCCTCCCACCCCCCGCAGCCACCCTCCTTGTTACCCTCAGAACCTGGAGTGTGAGTCACAGTGTCTAGTTCACAGGGTTAAAGAGCAAGGGCTGGGCTCAGAGACCTGCGCTCTGATTCCTCCCTGAGCCCACGGGCCAGGCTGCAGCGGTACCTTTGCCCAGTGCGGTCGCCCTCCAGCCTTCTTCATGACGCTCTCGTAGGCCAGCCAATAGTCCAGCCGGGGCACGTCCTTCCCGTAGGGCCTGAGGGCACAGGGCAGAGTCAGTGGCTAGCAGCTGCCTCCGTCCCCCTTCACAGAGGGTTTCTTTGGCATTAAGACGACGAAGGGGGCACATGACACAAACTCATTCACCTCTTACATGGACTGGCCACTGGGGGGAGACAGAGCTACCCTCACCTTCACAGAGGTTATGGATTTCCCCCACTGGGGGATGCTCATGGGACCTACTGGAGTTTGAGTTCTGCAGCCAGCCCTACTCGGGCCAGCAGTGGGGTGTGAACCCGGCACCGTTGGTGCTAGAAGCAGCAGTTGCTGCCACGTGAGCTCAAGGACTAACCCCAGCTGGGTAGGGCCTGTGGTAGACTCTGCTCCAGCTCGGACTAGATGGGCCACAGACGCTCTCTGTCTCCTAAGCCTGGGTTAAAACTGAGCCATGGGCACCTGGGGTGAATGTCAGGAAAAGCTTCCCGGGAGGGAGATGGTGGATCTCTGCTGTGCAGTGTCCCCCGGGAAAGGGCTGGAGACCCATCGCTTGGGACATTTAACATCAGACAGGACAGAGCCCTGGGGAACAGGCTGAGGAACATTTTCGGGTCTGTGTTTGTCCAGCACAACGGGGTCCTGGTCCAAGACAGGGCCCCTAGACATCCCCACAATACGAACAATTAACAACAAGAATTCCCAGTGGGACAGGACCCGACAGCTCTTTTAATCTCGTGTTCATGATCAAACCAACCAGCTGGGAGTAAATAATCAACTCAACTCTTAAATTCCCCATGAACCAGCCCGTGTTGTAATCCCCATGTGACATGTGGGGAAACTGAGGCACGGGGAGGGGACTTGACTGGCCCACGGTCCCATAGCTGGGAACATAAGTCAGGATTCTCAAGCCACTGGACAGTTTTTCTGCCCCCGTGCAGCAGGGGAAGAGAACTCTGGGGTCGCCGCCCACCAACTCCGAGCGGAGCACGAGCAGTGAGATCCGGATCGGCTGAGCCATCGATGTCCGGTAACACCGGCTTCCAATGTGCAGGTTAACTCTGGCTTGTGCTGCAGCCCCCGGCCCTGCCAGAGCCAGAGCCTCATTCCTCCTGGCCCAGCCCCCGCTTTACCTGTACATGATGATGTTCATGTAGCAGCTGTCTCTCTGGAAACAGGGACTCAGCAAGATGTCGTCCCCCCGAGCAAAGCGCACCTCCACTGGGTAGTGTGCCACCACTTTGGGGTTGTTCTCCAGCACGGCCTTCAGCTCCAGCAGGGCCTCCTTCGTCTTCTCACTGCCCAGGTGCAAACCGCCCCCAGAGCGCATGTTAGCATTGGAGCCACCATCTCGCTGCTGGGCCTCAAACCGCCCTTCCCCACAGCGGGGCGAGCTCAGAGCCTGACCACATCTCCCCCTAGCGCTGGAAGGGCAGGGGCTGGGGGTCGGGATTGAGGGGCACCAGCAGAGCTGTGTGGGGAGCCCAGGGCTGGGATAGCAGGGGGCTGCGGGTTGGGCTGAGGGGGTCAACAGAGCTGGGGTGGGGGGGCAGGGGGCTGCGGATCAGGATTGAGGGGCACCAGCAGAGCTGAGGGGGGGTGCCCAAGGCTGGGGGGGGAAGCTTTCACAGCTGCCTGCACCACACTTGGCTCTAGCTGGCATTAAAATCCCTCCCTTTTGTGAGCGATTTATTTACAGAGTCGTTATCAAAGAGAAGATACTGCGAGCTAAGCCGGGACCAGAACCACCTTCTCGCCACCAGCAGAGCTGGTCCCTGCAGGACAGCCCCTCAGGCTAACAGGGAAGCGATGCTGCTCTGAGTTTTCTGTGCGTGTGTTTGGGGAGACCCCCCCCACACACACACACACTGAGGCTTAACCCCAGCGGCCGGACCCTGCGTTTCAGCGCCTCGTGCCCGGTGTGCTCTGAAGAGGTGACGAATTCACCCTTCTGTGTCTGTTTGAGAGGAACATGCAAATGGAGGAACCGGATTGGGTCCCAGTGTGCCGGCGGCTGGGTTACCCACACGAGGTGGGAATCTGCTGATTGGTCCCAAAGTGGAACAAAACCAGAGTGCGAACACAATAACCCGCTTCGAGGAGTAACCCAGGCCCACGCCCTCCAAGGGTATTAGGCACCTAACTCCCATTGGCCTCTGTGGGAGTTAAGCCACAGGGAGTTAGGATCTGGGTCTAAATTCTGTGGGTCTCTGCATCCCAGCCCTGCCCCCACATACCCCCAAGCCGTGCTGGGTGAACACCTTGCTCAGTCATGGGGGAAGGGGGCGGTCTCTGCTGCCAGCATCACAGCACAGTAGTGCCCCGTAAGTCCTGGCCTGGGCCCAGCCATCCTGGAAGGGATTGCTGACTACCCCAGAGCCTGGCTGTCTCACAGACCCCCAGCCTGGACATCCAGGTGCTCTGGGGACATCCAGCGGTCGCTGAGCACATGAGTCACTCCCTAGCACTGGGAGCAGCTTTCCCGAGCCTGACTCTTGCCTGAGGGGGACTGGGAAGCAGGAAGGAAAGAGGCACCGTGCAATCTCTCCCCTCCCGCTAGCATACACACGCAGGACTGGGCCATGAACGGGTTTAGAGCTGCATTGCACGGCCAGCAGTCCCCGTACAGCCCCTTGCACGGTCTGGGTGTGGTGGGGGGTTCCGCAGAGCCGCTTACATGGGGATAGCCCAGTCCTGGACGTGCTGTCTGAAGCGGCACTCGTAGTTGAAGATCTTGTAGCTGAGGTCGACGTGCTCCACCTTGCCCTTGAAGAGGAGCCAGAAGAAGAAGCGATTGATCCAGCACACCAGGCCGGGCAGGATCGTGCTGCAGGGGAGACAGAGAGAGATCAGGGCCAGGGCAGAACCACGGAGAGCACGTGTCAGGTCTGCAGCTGACGAGGGGCCAGGGCTCCCCGAAGAGGTGGGTGGATCTGACGGCCAAGCCAGCCCCTCAGTAATTCCCAATGGGAGGCACCACTCGACCAGCTGCCCCCTGAGGTCATTAGGAGGGGAAGGGGTTATCACGGGCCACTAGGTCCCCTCTAGGAGACAAAGGGAGGCAGGGCTGTCTCAGGGTCTGCGAGGCCAAGGGGACCTGCAGGCCAATTGGGGTGGCAGGAAGGAGGGTGCTTGGGTTGAGCTGCCTCCAGTGCATTGTTCAATCATTGCCGTCACACCCCAAGCCTGAGGCGCTGCACCCCCTTTTCTGGCCTTGCACCCTGGCAGAGACGTCAGCCTCAGAGCACTGCTGGGAGCCAGAGAGGCCAAAGCTTGCTCGGAAACACCGCGTCCCTTAGAATCAGAGCAATGCCACCGCATGCCCCCTTACTGGCCAAGACCCCACAAGTCACGTCACTGCATCACGGAGCACAGTCAGACAGCGCCGGGGCTTGGAAGGGGATTTACATCGTCGGAGATCATGCTCAAAATGCTGTCCCATGCCCTTCGCATTATTTACATAATCATTTTTAAAGTATTGCAGGGGAGAGGTTATTTCTTTACACGGTGGGGCTTTTTGAACTTCTTCTTTTCAGTCCCCTCAGGCTCTGGTTCTTATATTAACAATCCCCCAATATTGGGGTTTGAACTTGGGACCTTTAGATCCCGATTACCGACCTGCTACCAGTTGTGCTCAAGGAGCAACTCCATGAGCTCTCTCTTTCGCAACATGTTGGCCTCAGCTTTTTTGCAGGTCTTCGGGGGTTGGACTAGATGACCTCCTGAGATCCCTTCCAACCCTGATATTCTACGAGTCTATGATTCCATACAGTCTGCAGTGACAGTGCCCTAGAGGGTTCCTAAACCTCCTAGTACCTACAGAGGAGGAGATTTCACGGAGTAGGGCTCTTTTAATCTAGCCAAAGGTAGCTCAAGGCAGAACGGCTGGGAGTTGAAGCGAGATAAATAGGATGCACAGGATTAACTGCGAGGGTAATTCATCACTGGGGCAGCTCACCTAGGGACATGGTGGATTCTCCATCACACAGAGTCTTTGGGTACGTCTACACTACGAGATTAATTCGAATTTAGATAATTCGAATTTGGGAAACAGATTGTATAAATTCGATTGTGCGCGGCCACACTAAGCACATTAATTCGGTTTTTAACCACATTAATTCGGTGGTGTGCGGCCACACTACCCCATTAATTTTAACCACATTAATTCGGTGGTGTGCGGCCACACTACCCCTCATTCGAATTAACAAAATCGATTTTGGTGCTACTCCGCTCGTCGGGGTGGAGTACAGAAATCGATTTTAAGCGCCCTTTAATTCGAAGTAACTGGCTCCGTTGTGTGGACGGGTTAAGGATTAATTCGGATTAACGCAGCTAAATCCAAATTAAAGTCGTAGTGTAGACCAGGCCTTTAACTCAGGCCTGGGTGTCTCTTTCTAACAGATCTGCTCTCGCTCAGCCAGAACAGAGCAAAAACTCACTTCTTCTGTGCAGCCTTTGAGCCCTCCTCTGCCATAAACCAGTTCCCTCCACCTCCAGTCTGTACCACTTACATCCGATTGGTTTAGATCTCAAGCTCCTTGCAACAGGGACTGCCTGAAGCTGCAGCTACCCGGGGAGTTTGTGGCTGTTGCCATGTGATGTTCTCTGGCTACTTGGCAC